TTTTTTTTTTTTTTTGTTTTTTTTTTTTTGTTTTTTTCTGGGAGCGCAAACATGTCCGGAGGTACCTACAGGGTTTGGAAGTCCTCCTTCCCCAGGGTCTTGAACTCCTGGCAGACTTTGTCCCGGACATAAGGTCTCCCTGTAAGAGCAGAAAAATTTGTGATTTGTGATTTGTGAGCAGGATTTGTGCCTTGGCTCACTGAGGAGCTCCCGGGGAGCCGGGATCAGCCTGCATCAGCTGGGGGTTGGGAAAGCCCCAGCTTTGCTAATCCCTGCAGTACTGCTCCTGTGCCCCTCTCTTTGGGGAGCACTAGAGCTCATCTCCAGCAACCCTTCTCCTTGTAGGAAAAAAACCCACAAACTAATAAAACAGAGTGGCTGTGCTTAATTGAGTCTCCTGTGGGGAGAAGGCTGGGAGCCCCAGAGACAGGAGCATGGAGGTGAGGAGCACCCAACCTGTGAAGACATCTCCAACAGCTCTCTCATCCCTGGAAAATCACTATAAATTTTTGCTAGGAACAACATAGGTTAGACTTTGGTACCAGCAGGGTAAATACTGATACCAGTATTTACTGGTGTTACAGTGCAGAGTGGGGTCACGTCCCTGAAACCGAAGGGTTGTGTATGTGCTGTTACACTAAAGGTCATGTTGCTTCAGTGGGAAAGAAAGGGTGAGGGGGCCCCAGCAAAGAAGGGGAAGCCATAAGTAAAGGCAGCTCTCCTTCCTCGCAGGAACAGCAGCTTCAGTTGGTCCTGCTCCAAGTGCCAACTTGTTGCACTTTTCATCTCCATGCAAGGTGTGGGAGAAGAAAGTTCCCAGGGGCTGTTCTGGCAGGCAGATGATTCCCTGAGGAGCTGTGAAGGCAGCACAGGGCAGCACAGAGCATCATGTCCACCCAAGGGTGGGTTTTACACCAAAATGGTGCTTGTAAAGAGGTCAGAAAAAATCTCATTTTCCCCTTGCAAATGGAAGAAGCTGGACCCTCAATACTGGCCTCTCCTCCACCTTAACCCCAGTCCAGCCTGTCCCCTCCCAGTTCTGGCATCACCCCTGGGATCACATCCTGGGACCCAATCCACACCTTCCCTTTCCTCTCTCATGTTTCTGCCCAGCGATTTGGCAGCAGGTTGGGGGAGAGGCCACCAAAAACCACCAGAGCTGCCAGACCCCAGCCTCATCCCCCTCATCCCTCATGAGAAAGCAAAGTCGCAGGCACCTGATAGAGCTCTTACCTCGGTGCTCAGCACATGCAAGAGCTACAAGCAGCAGCAGGGTCAGAGCTGCCCTCATGTCAGGGCTGGTTTCCCTCCTCCTGCCAAAATGCCGTGCTGGGGAACCCATCCCAGCGTTTATATGGCGGCAGTGCCTGTTGTCAGGTGAATGATTAAACCTGGTGGTAGGGGAGGGCAAGCGCCTTTGGCCTGCCTGCCACAGTCTGGGTGCCAGCACCTCCAAAATCCAACCCATTTTAATCATTAGCTTGGCAAAACACAGATGCTTTGCTGTGGGACCTCAGGGGCCTCCTGCTCGTGATGGGTGATGGGCGCAATTGGTGCAATGGGAACAGGAAGAGCTGTGCAAAGGAGAGAATCCTGGGAGTGCAAAGCCACTAGTAGATGGGTCAATAAAAGGTCCCAACAACCCCCTGTAAGGAAGTAGCCTGTGATTTTGGGGTGCAAGCACACCGAACTCTCCCAGGGCAATACTGAGGTGGGTACAACTGGTCCAGGAGGCAATGACAGTGGCATGCTGCAGTGCACTGCTCTGCTGTGACAGTGGTGCACTGGCGCTGGGTCAGGGTGACTCCTACCCAAAAGGATGGATGGCATGTGTCACACCTGCCCAAAGGTTTGTTGCTGTCCGAGTACACATTGCTTTGATCCCTCCTGGGGCTGGTGGTGGAGCCCTAGATTCCCCCCGTGCTGCAGCAGAAGGGACAGCGGGTGTGATACATGGCACTGGCAAGGTGCTGGGCTGGTGCCTGGGCTCTGGGAAAGGGGGATGGTGGAGCCACTGGGGTCAGGAGCAGCCTATTTATTTAGCCTCAGGAAGCCAGATAGAGGAGATCATGGCCTGAGGCTGCTGTAAAACAAATATCCAGCAAATTCTGCCCTGGATTGGTGGCTTGAAGCAACCAGCTCCTTTGAGGTGACTTCCTGTGGGATGACAGATGAGTGCCACCCTGGGCACCTCATAAGAGAGCTCAGTCACAACTACAGCAGCCAAATCTCAAGGCATGGATGCAGAGAGTTTGCAGCTGTTTGGGGCAAGTGGCATTTGAGCTGGCTGCTGCTCGTCTTGGGCCACCCCTCTGAATCTTGCAGCAGTGGGCTCGTTTCTTGGGACAAGCCTGCAAAGAGATGTGGTCTAGAGGTGGTCCTGGGTTAAAATAAGAGGTGCTGGCCACTGTGTGCACATCCAGATGTATTGGAAGTTGGTTTTCTTGCTTTTACTAGGACATAAAGGTGCTTTTGAATCACCTCCTCACTGCTCCCACCCTCTGCTTCCCCCTCCACTCTCCAGGGTGTTAAACACCAGGGGATTGCAGCATCCAATGCTGCTGGGAAAAGCTGGCTGTTACCCTGGGAAGCTCAGCTCCAGGGGGTCCATCTCAACTCGTACAGCATTGGTTTCAATTCCTGCCCTTGAAGTTGCCAGGTTTGGGTTTGGGACTCAGGCTTTGGGGGGGGGGGGAGGGTCGAG